CGCCTTTCTTTCCTGCCACACCTTGATGATACATAATTATGGTGTTAATTAGGCGGGAGGCTGCCCATTTCCTACCCCTGCCAGGGGTGCTATTTGCAGCTCAGAACCTCCCTTAGGTCACAGTCCATGCCTCGAAGATGACATCTAAATTCTTGACATCTCCAGCTCCACACCGGGCTCCACACCACTGTGGTCTGGACCCCAATTAGATCCCTCCTAACCAGGCGGCCTACTCTGCCCTCATTCTAGGCTGCCTAGCTCCCTGCACTCTTCCCCCTCTTGGGTGTGCCCCCTCCCCCCCAGGCCTTTGGCCACACAGGACCTAGCCTCACCTCCAAGGCCAGTTGGAACTGCAGACTCTCAGCTCTGGGCATCCCTCACTGTGGGTCCCTGGTCCATTTGACCCCTCTGGTCCTGGCCTCAGCACTGACCAGTCGAGGGTGCCTCAAGTCAGGCTTCTGAGCAACTAGCCCACACCCTCTTACATGCATCTGCTTTCTTGGGCCCTACTACGGGGTTAACCACCTGGTTGTGGGAGCTAGGGTTATTAAGGCACCTTGACCCACCTTTTACCAGGGTGATAACTGGGCTGGCATTTCCTGGGGGCTCCTGCACCACCAGGAGCCCTACCAGGCCACCCATCCCTGGCAGGGTGCAGTTTTAGGTGATGCCCAGAACTAAGAGCCTCCTCCATCTCCATAGCCCCAGCCCATAAACCCCCAAGCTGTTCCTGAGACTCAGCTCTGCCAGCTGATGTCTCTCTCATGGCTGCCAGCAGCAAACTGCTGCTTCACCCTATAGATAATCTGGGTCTCAAAATGACCACCGTACCCAAGCATCTGGCTGCTGCCTGCTCCAGCCCTTAAAGTGGCAGGTGCCAACAGTCCCCTGCCACAGGACCTTTTAATGAGTCTCCCAATTCAATTCAGATTCAGTGATTCGGCTGCCGAATCGGGCCGAATCACCTCTGAATTGAATCAGCTACTGAAGCTTCACACAGCCCTAGTCCCTATTCTACCTGAAATGTCTTCATGTAATTGGCAGAGGAGCTAGACACACTATCTTCTAAGTGTAGTCTCTCCTGATCAAAGCTAAGACTCATAGATAGGGCTGACCACCCATTAGTACTGGGATCATATTTGATAGGGAACTGCCTTTTCAAATGCTTTCTCTCTCCTATGGATATAGAACTCCAGTCTCAAAGGATGTCAATTTAGTATTTTTTTCAGAATACTAATAACACTTACAATCTTGTATAGCCCTTCTGCTTGAAGCTTAAAGCATCATAACTAACTGGCAAATTGACTAGATGTTTCTAAAATACTAGTACAGTTTAGGAATCCAAACTGTTCAATAGCATTTGTCATATGACTAAAAACATGATAGAGATCCAGCTGTTCAACTCATTTAATAAAGCAAAGGGACTGCTTATCCACATATCACAATTTATCATAACCACCAAAAATAGAAGCTTCCATCTTACTTGCAAGAAGATAATCAGTAATGGCCATATGTGTATTAGGAAGAAGACAATGCATTTGGAAGTTGAACAGTGGGTGAGCAATAGAAGCTAAAGAAGTATCTTAATTTTTCACTGTATTTCTTCATCCTATCAGTTCTTCTTCCACAATTTCATGTATAACGATGAGAAACAAACCATGCTTTAGGCTTGAGAGATGATCATACTGAAGCTCGCTAATCCCTAGAGAAAAATCTTTTAGTGGTTACCACATATTAATGTTAGGAACATAAGTTAATTCCCAGTAATAACATTTATATTTCAAACAAGTGTACTGAAAAAACTTGACTAAATAAATACAGCAATTCATATAACAAGTAAAAGAGCATTGTACTATAACATTGTCATCTACGTTTAAACCAAAAGGCAGGTCTGACACATGAGATTTTGTGTGAACCCTAGAGCAACACATACACACAATCACACACAAACCTCATGTAAGTAGTAGTTTGCAAAATGTAAGTGAGATTAATGGTAAAAGTATCTTTCTATGCAGAAGAAATTGAACATTAAAGCTGCAGTGTTAGGAAAAAAAAGTTTTAAAAACAAGACATGAAGTTGTGTGATAGAAGATGAAAACTTAAAAAAAAATGGTGACCTCATATCATAGATGAAATAAATTAAGCAACTGAAGAAAAACTAAAAAAAGAACCCCCCACACACACACAGACAAAAGTGAGAGCACAACAAAGGAAGTGGAAGAAAAGTGTTACCCATAAGTAGCCGCCGTTTCACCCGCTTGTCCACATCAGCTACTGACGTGGCATTGTACTCAGAACTCTCAATTGCAGCCTCATCCTTCTCTAAAACACAAGTAAGGGACAAACATGGAGCAGTTGGTTAATCACAAGCCCAATTTTCCAGTGCCTAAGACAGTTTCTTGGCATGGCACAGCCAAAGCCAAGAAGCAAGCCATGAAAGCACTAAATCCCCATTAGAGAGTTAATTCCATTTGAAATCCCAGAAAAAAATTAAAGGGCATTTTGGGGGAGGAGGAAAAGGAAGAGGAATGATCAACATTGAAGTAATTGATGAGAAAACATACATAAAGCAGGTGTCTGACTAGAGTACAAGACAATGAACATGAGTGTCCCAGACCAGTGTTAATGACGGGAATTAAAATACAAAGGTAATAGTTAAACAAACTATTTAAGACATACTGTAAAGTGATTCAGGCTGACACTGGCACCAGGATCTGAAGAAGGCAGTCACAGAATAGAAACAGATAGACAGACAGAGCTAAAAGAATCTGGTGATGGATGGGCATGGGTGTGCCATAGTCTTCTACACATAGACACAGTGTATAAAAACCAAACAGAAGGCATGCAAATTAAATAAACAAGAAACAAAAACAAAAAAACCATACAACAAACCAAACAAACACAAAAAGATCAATTTGGGCAGTGCTGGTTGCCTGCTTGTCTATGAAACACTACTAGCTAAACATTCAATGCTAAAAGAGATGTTGCAAGAATAGGATTAGGTCATTTTATAAGCATGCAGTAAGCAAGATGTCAGCAAAGTCACTTGTACAGGTAGTTTCTGATATCCTATATGTACATGTGTCAATCCAGTATAACAAGGACTTTAGTGGAGTTATGCTTCATTAGAAATACATAGAAACAGTCACAAAGGTGGGAAGAGGTGATCAGTAAATGAAATAAAAATGAAAGTTTCCTTTACAGAAAAGAATGGAGAAGCAGCAGTGGGGTAAATCAAATGATACATACAGGAAAGGAGGTGCTTTATTTAAAAAAATAAATCAGGCAAACAAAGACAAAATATGTTAGACAAAGGGTCAAAAAAGATTTATTTGGCATTGCAGAAGTTTGCATTCTTGTAGTGATGCCCAGAACATACACACCACTGAAGACAGCAAACAGTGGAATCACTGAAATGAAGAGGAGGAGATGGCTGGTAAGTTTTATTGGTGGCAACACTACATGGTTGAGTTGTAACAAGAAGTTTTTAAACAAGTTCTAGATGGGATCAGGCTGCAATAGAGGCTTTTGTTTGAGGTGTTTTATTGTTCTGTAAATAATTAATGAACTTCAGTTATCAGACAAGACAGGCAATCAGGAACCATCACCAGAAAGCAGGAATAAAAATATAAAAATAAATAAAAACAAATGAAAAAAGTATTCTAAAAGAGAACTAATCAGAGGGAAGAAAATCAACAAAAGCAGTAATATGTGACTTATATCATAGGACTAAAGAATGTAATATGGTGTTGTATTTATTATGTTACAAAAATGGGAAAAAAAAAGTAAAAAACAAAACAGAACCCCAAAGGGCAGTATATACACCCTTCTGAAGAATATCTATGTGCTGGCCAATAGAAATCATCCACCTAAGAATATATGTGAACAGCGGGGCTTCTCAGTCCTTCACGTACACAACTCATGTCACTAGGAAGAGCTCCTTCCATGAAAGAGCTGCAAGACACTGAGATCACTATGTTTAATTAAAAAGTACTGATAGATCCTGTAAGTCCATGAAAAGGTAGTATCTACAGGAAGCACTGTATCCTGATTAGCTTTGCTGTTAGGAACACCACAGCCTCATTCCTATCAGATGATTTGTCTGGTTAGATGCATCTGAAATCAGTGAAGTCTATGTCAGCAAAGGGGCAGAGTCTGCTGGCACAGATCCCTAGGCTGGATCAAGGCCCATGTGCTTGATCCAAAGCTAAGTAAAGTTAACTGAAAATTTCCCATTGTGCTAAGTAGATTTTTTTGTACAGAGAAAGGAAAGAGAAAATTAGGAACTTGAGTCTAATTTTAAGCTTTTTTGTTTCTCATATATCATAAACCATTGAAACACACATAATCATTACCATGATGAAAATCATGTAATTTTAGAATGTGATTTTGAGAGCAGAAATGAGTTCACTTGTGCCGATGGCAAAAAGCTTCTTTTTGTTAAACAAAACTGGGGGTCGGATGAGGAAGGGTCTGCAGACAAATACTGAAATATTTGCGTGACATCATCCATGGTGCTTCATTTCCTGTAAGACCTTTCTTCCAACTCACTCTCTTACCAGAAGCTTATTCACAATCATTATTATTTTCACTCCTATTTAAAAACTGGGAAGAAAACTTATAGCTAAAAAGTTATCTCTGATGCTAAGAAAATCATGATCGAATCCTGTCCACCATACTTATACAAGTAGTTCCAGGGCACTATTCACATGAGTAAAGAGAAAAAGAGTTCATCCATTGTGTTTTCAATATGAAAAAGTTACAAGATTTATAAAAAGAGAATAACAAAGGGATAGTTAATTGACAAACACTGAAATAAAACATGCATAAGTGCTTCCATCAGTGGTCTTTGTAAAGTCTGACCTTTGCTGCTGTGTCAAAAACAACTATTGAACACTCTTCTCAACAATAGTTCTACTCTCCTGGGAGATGCACACACAGACACACACACTCATTCTATTAGGAATATAGAATGAAGCATGCTTTTGAGCACTACTTACCAATGCATGTTCGACCGTCTGAGTGCAGGGCATACTTCTGATGACAACCACACACAGGACCAGTATCTGTGTCATCACAGGTGTGTTGGCAGCCTCCATTCCCATAGTTACAGGTTACTAGTTATGCCCCAAATAAATGTGTATATATGTATATATAAATAAAATGATAATGAAACCAATTAGTTTTAGGGCATTTTTAGAAAACATTTAGATCAGTTACAAACCAAGACATAAGCAGCATAAGATTTTTTGCAGGTATTTGCATTCTCTGTTCTTTATTTGGACATTATGGTCCTAAGGTCCTCAGCTCATCCAAGGACCCTTTTTCTTTGATCAATTTTCATTAGTCATTTTAGCACAAACAACCACTTAACTTCCTCTCCCCTCTAAAAGGATGTGCTTCGTATTTCTCGTGGATGACAGAGATATTAAGTCTGCTAATACAGACATATAATTTCCAATCTATAGACGGCATTTTCCTCTGCCTAATTGCCTTCATTCTGTAATTAGAGGAAGCAGACAACCAGACTGCCAGAGCAAAACATACACATCTTCAAATCTAGTATTTCAAACACCCATGTCCTCCTAGAATAGAAGAATATTTAAACTCCCCTCCTGCCCCAAAATATGAGTCACTTTTTTTCTTTTCTTCTCTTAAAGAAAAACCCTTACCACCACTTTGTCTGGCCTTCAGTTAGGAAGGAACTCATGAAAATGTCACATTCACTTATATCTGTATTTTGTTAAATTATTTGTAAACATTAACTTTTCTGAAAAGAAAATTACATTTCTCCAGCCAAACAGAATTAACACAATATAAAAAAATTAATGTCATATCTTGGTTCTCATTTCTAACTCTTAGGAAATGGCATTTCTCAAATATTAAATAGGCATACATTGGTTTTTATTTACCACTCTTTTTTATGCAGTGTGCACATTTACAGCTGTGCAAATACATGCAAGAGGAAAAAGTCTTGATATGACAAGCCTTTATACTCATTTTGCTGTCAACCCCATATGTACAAATGTCTACATAATGTAAGTGTCAACTCAGGAGATAATCAGGATCTTTGTGCATGAATATAGACTCTCCTATTATTCTTTTATATCAATAAGGAGGTTTTGAGGTTTTAAATATGATTTAAATATTGGATCCTGTTCATCAGAGGAAGCTTGCTGATCTTCGTTAGATCTTTGTTCACTTTGATCCCTGGTTAGTTAGAGAATTTGTAAAATATCCAATTACACAAGTTTCAAGATTTGGTATGGCTGAGATTTTCAAAAGAACAATTTAAAGGCAGGCTGAGCACTCTGCAGGTCCCATTGATGTCAATGACTACTCTTTAACTATTGCCTCTAAAAATGAAGTATACCAGAATTTTTTTGGAGAAGGGACTTGAGATAAAGAGCATTTCTCTCTCTCTCTCAGTCTCTTTTGACCAGTTAAGTTGAACAAGATCTACCCAGGATACCCTATAGCTTGGTGATTGGAGTGGTTAGGACACTTACCAGACTGGCAGGAGATGCAAGGTCAAATCCATTCTCCATGATGGAGGGCAGGAATTTGAATCAGGGTTTCTTATCTCCCAGGTGAGTATCTTAACCACACAGCTACTGGGTATTCTAGGTGGAAGCTCTTTTAATCCACTGGATTCGAATTACACCACTTTGTATCATATATCTATATGATATTCAGAGAAAGAGAGAATGACTCTCTAACCATGTGGAGAACAGCTGGTTTCCAGTTCCTGATCCTGTGATTGTTAATTATTTACTAAAGTGGAATGGCATCAACATGAGGAACTGAAATAATGCCACTCCAGAATACCCATACAGACTTGTTGTTCTGGAATGCTCCTGGATGGTGGGTGATATGGATTCAAATTCCCTGAGACCTGGAACCTGAGTCTCTTATGTCTTGGCAGAATAGTTTAATCGTTGAATTGCTGTATCATTGAGTTGCTGTTTTGTGAATTTTGCCCTTTGTTTCCCTTCCGAAAAGTGCCCCAAATAAAGCATTCTGTTTTATAACAGATGGAATGTTCCCTCAGGACAAAACTCTCTTTCATTTTGTTTTGATGAAACAAAATTTTAAACTCACTTCAACTGAAAAATTAATTATGTGCACAGCCTGTCCCCATTTGTTTCTGTTCTCACTGCTCCTTTTTCATTTGTAATTGCTTTTCATTGTCTTCTGGGTTTGTGCCTCTCCCTCTCTGAGCCATGTTGTAATTGGAGTAGGCTCCATGGGCTACAGCACAGACTCTCTTGCAAATGATCTGAGAACTATTGGAACAGAGAAGAAAGTCTTGGCCCAGCATGCTGCTTTCTGGGCCTGCTGCACAGTAAATTCAAACTGCTTCTATAGCCAGCTGCATTTAGGGTTGTCATCATGGGATAGGCCATGGTACTAAGGCCGTGTCTGCACTGCAGGCTCTTCTAGAGTGGTGCCTTTTATAATAAATCATCAAGGATTAGATGCCAATTTTCCCATTCCTCTGCACAGCAAAGTGCTCACATGCCATACAGTCTAATATCTAAAAAACAATGACAAAAGAATTGTTTTGCAATGCATAGCATTGCTTTAACTGAGCTTGAATTGTGGTGAACAAGAGTTTTATCACTAACTTCAATGGGAACAAAGTTAGGTCAATATTTAGCGCTTTTGAACATCCAACCCTAATATTTTTAAACAAATATTATTAATATCAAGTTTAGGGAAAAGGGAACAAGCAATGATGCTGTGTATAGCCATGGATTTTGAGCCAAATGCTGCTTATGGTTACACCAATGTAAATTGGTGTAACCAAAGTCACATATTTGAGGATGAAGGAGTTCAAATTTAGAAGTACAGCCTGTTGGAGCCAGAGCTTTCAGTTTGACCTTGGAAGTCATTTAAGCTATCCTGTGCTTCAGTTTCCCAATTTCTTTCAGAGGGCTATTGGTAGGATAAGAATCAACTATTCAAGCAGAGGTTCTCAGCTACTTTAGTTTATATAATAATATAGACAGAAGAATTGTCTGTTGCCTTCACAGAGTGAATACTGTACTAAGCTTTTAGTTTCTCTTTTTCTCTGCAAAACAGTTTATGTTATACAGTGAAATGTAAATTCTGATGGTAGACTTATTACCCAACAATTTCAGTCTTTAAAAGGAAGACTCATTAGAGTTTGCCAACAAACATTTTGACCTTTAATACATGAAATCAGAATCACAACTTATGTATCTTTTTTTTTTTTTTGCTGAAAACTGTATGGTATGGTGGTAAGGGAGGAACCAACAGCAAATGAAAATTATACTCGAGCTTTAATGAGAGATGGAATCAAATCAAATCAAATCCTGGATCTGAACGCACAACATTTTAAGGCCTCTGGTCTAGATTACATTTTTTTTTAACTTTTCCATTACTGTTTAGTAGCTTGTAGTGAAAGTACACAGCCAGACATCTCTGAATGTTGTGGGTGTGAGATCCAGTCAAAAACTATAAAATTTAGATTCATCTTTCCTTTCAGCTCTATGATAATAAAACAGTGAAGGTTTTTTCTTTTGCACTAACGAAGCAAAATCTGTATGTCAATGGTAAAACTTATCATTCAGGGGGATTACAGGTCTACTCCATTCTTACAGCAAAGTATTAAAGTGAGATGCATAAACAATCAAAATCTGCTCTCTCTTTAAAGAGATTTCCTGCAAATGCTATTGTACCCCAAATAATAAGTTTAGAGGACACAAGACTGAAACCACAAAGAGCAAAGTCTAACATTTTGACCTGCCAACCTTGCCAGTTGCTGGGTTTTTGGATGTAGCCATGTTGGTCTAAGGACATAGGTAAACAAGGTTCTTTGAGTAGATGTGATATCTTTTATTAGACCAACTGAGTAGTTTTTTCAACTGAGAATTTTTTTCCAGCTACTCAGTTGGTCTAATAAAAGATATCACTTCTGCGCAAAGAACCATGCCAACTTTGGCATTAGCACAGAGTATACCTGAGCTCTCACTGCTTTAAGTAACATCTGGCTGGAATGATACATATCCTCCATTGCAGTGCGGCAGCTTGGTGCTGTAGCTTCTGCAGTGTGACATTCTTCTAATGAGGAGACCCTTGAATGGCACAGTTACCATATCTCATGCTGTACCCTCTCTCTTTCTGACACTCAATTCAAGGCAGGTGCCTGGGATATAAAGGAGCAGAGCCGTCATGATCGCTGTTTGCCATGACTACTCTGGAAGCCAGTGACACCTGGTGGAGTTATACAGCTGTTCTAAGTTGTGCTGGGAGGGACCAAAGACCACAAAAGTGGCTGAGTGCAAAAGCCCACCTTTGCTTCTCTGCCCTGAGCTACACTAAGTGCTCTTTTGGGCTGGCTGTTATAGCTAATATGAAGAACAATGCACAGTGTTAGAAGTAACATTGCCATCGTGAAAGTAAAGGAAGAGTAATTCAGGATTGGCAGATACACACTGCTATATAAATCAAATATAATAGAGATTTTTAATGTACACAAACAGATACATACATATATACATACACATGTATCTGTATATGTATATATTCCAGAGAAAAAGGCCATGTTAAAACAATACTGTTAAGGTTGCAGGATGAAACACCCAGGAAATAAAAAAATCCAGCTTGCCTTTACAGCCTAAATACTTCCCTCTGTGCGTCCGCCTGAATTTTAGTGTCCTTGCTAGGGTGTCCTGCCTTACCTTTGGAAGTGACAAAGAACTGCAGGAAGAGAAAGGGTAAATTTGTGGAGGAAATATATATAAAGATTCTATATAAAGATTGCATCCTGAGGCATACCACAAGGGGCTGGATTAAGGTTACACAGACATCCTTAACTGTGGTTACCTAACTTTTGAGTGTTTGATTTGGCAATTTTCATAAATATTCTTTTAAAGTTTATGTGCACATATGTGATAAAAATCCAAATATGATCCAATCTGTACCTCATTTCTATTTTTCTCAAGATATTGAGCATTAATGTAATGGTGATGCAAATATATATATGTAATATGGATAACATAAGGGAGTTTAACATGAGACTAACTTTTGAAAATAAGGCATTTTTAAGGAGTTCAGTCTTTTAAAACTTTTAAAGTATCTTAACATCTCAAAGTGGCTTATTATCCAGATTTGTATTTAGTATCTAACCAGATTTTGAATGTAGTATTTAGTAACCATTAATTTTAAAAGTAATATGATTATTACATCTCTATCTTGGCTCATATGTGGCTAAAATGGATATTATGGCGAAGACACCATATCATTTGTAAGAAGCTGGACCTATGTTTTGTTGTATGGCTCCAGTGTTTCTTTAAGTCTGGTACAGCACACTGTAAACTACTTCGTGGCTTCAGATAAACAAAAAACATTTTTTTATTTAAATCCATATATGGCTTTTTATTTAGATCCATATGATCTTGTGGCCGCCTACAAATTCATTAGAGGGATGCAGCAAGGGATCGGAGATGCTCTGTTCACCAGGGCGCCTCTTGGGGTAACAAGGAACAATGGTCACAGACTGTCAGAGAGCAGATTTAGGCTAGATATCAGGAAAAACTTCTTCATGGTAAGCGTGGCCAAAATTTGGAATGGGCTTCCAAGGGAGGTGGAAGACCCTATCTTGGGGGTCTTTAAGAGAAGGCTGGATAGGCATCTGACCCCAGCACTCTTGCCTGCCTAGGCAGGGGTCAGACTCGATGATCTGTTGAGGTCCCTTCTGACCCTAACATCTATGAATCTATGAAATATATGTTATATATTATATAATAAAGAATTCACTTATGGTATTACTTAAAAAACCCCTCTGAATACAATATTGCTTGTTTTGCTGATGTTATTTTAAATTTGTTCTATTCTGGCACTATACTTCCAAAGGTCTGCAGATTTTTATCTTTATGGGGAATAACTGCATCACAGCACTTTCAGCAGAAGCTGGGAGGGTTGGCACTTGGAATAAGTAGAAAAATATATTATTCTATAGGATAAACAAACTGAGCAAGATTTTTGAAAGCACTTTGTGCTGGCTGAAGCAACCTCTCAAGGAAGTCATTATAGGTGGTGAAGGGAGAGACACCAATAGTCAAGGCTGCCTAATGCTTAGCTTTATAAGAAACGGTTTTTACTTGCTTGTGACTTTGCCAAGCACAAACCATTTGCACTGAAATCTTTTAAATTGGCTGTCTGCCTCAGGCTGTTTTTTTTTTTTTTTGGTAAGTTTCAGCCAAAATGGTTCAGGTTCAAACCATTTAAAAGAAGTGAGGTTAGAGAAAAATACATTGTTTTTCCATGTTAGAAAACAAACAAACAAATTTTATTGAGGAGCTTTAACACCACCATAAGCTTCAGACCTTGGACTTCATTTGCTAATCATGAATATGCTGTTTCTGCAAAAGTCCATTAAAAATGGCCAAATTTTACTCAAAATTTAGGCACAGGTAGAATTAAGGTGAGCTGTGCAACTTTGACCTGGGCTCCTTTGTATACACTACTGTGACAGCCATCTTTAATTACACAATCACAGCATACCTGTCTCATTCAGTGCACAGAATGGACCTTATGGGGACAGATTCACATTATGTGCTGGAGGAAGCTGTTGCCTGCAGAAACAGTCTCTTTTGTTGCAGAAGGTATGTAGCAAATGAGGAGGGGATAACAGGAAGAGAAAGGATGGTTGTGTGGTTAAAGCAGTTGAATGCTGCCCAGGAGAAATGGATTCTATTCCGCTTCTGTCACAGAACTCATATCTACTTCTTGGCAAGCCTCTGAAACAATATGTTTTACAGTAATTATATGTTTCTTACTTTGTTGGTGTTCAGCGTTAGCCTCTTAGCCTCTGGGGCCGAGCAGTAGCAGTCACAGTTGCAACTGAAGTCATAGCAATTGTGTTTTGAGGGAGATAAATATCTTTATATAGAGAGTCCAAATCTCAAGGGGCACTAAAAATCAGGCCGTAGTTATCTCAGCATCCAGCATTAGTGGACACTTTTGACATTAGTCTCTGTCTGAATTTTCCAGCTGTAAGCTGGTTGTAATAGTAACTCTTTATTTTATGGGGTGTTGGAAAGACAAATATGGTAAGGTTTGCAAAACACACCTACATTATAGAAGAGTCCACCAGGAAAATATTTTTGTACTCAAAGGAAGATTTGAATAATGTGTTAATAAGGGCATATGTTGAAGATGGAGGGAAAATAAAACACTGGATAACTGCTTATTCAGTGACTGCTGTTTATCCTGTACAATGAATGGAACAGGGGGCCTGCAGAACAAAATATGATTGTATAATTATGTGGTTGTGTAATTAAGATTATCCTAATGCATATGCACAAGGGAGATGAATATAGGCTGTGTAGTATGGATACTTTCTAACATTTGAGTGTTTGACTTTGCAACCTTGATGTTCTTTTAACATTTTCTTTTGCTTTGCCTGATATACATGCATACATGTATTAGGAGCAGAATGAGGCCAATATTGAGTTCTACCAAATGTCTGACTCAGTATGCTCAGTCAGTTCTATTATGATGTTGGGGATTCACATCCCTGGTTATAGTGGCTCTGGCAGACATTCCCACTAGAACTAATATTAGGGACATGTCAACAACAGAAGGAGAACTGGAACACAACAATGTAAATGTCCTATAGAGAGACCACTACAAGCCTGAGACATGAGGCAGTTCTAAATTAAGTTGGGGTCAGAGCTAATATAGACACAATCCCAGAAGTGGCAAAGTGCAAAATCAGTTTTGCGGTTCCCAGATCCCACTGTAATCAGTGCTTATATGGTACAGTTCAGAAATTAGTCAACTGGTATTTTAATTAAAATGATCAGCAGTGCAAAAATTTAAAATGTTAACACTGAAAGCATTGTTACATTTCAGAACTGGACCGTCACACAGATGAATGAACACATTAGATGAGTTATTCTTGCAGAGTGGCTATAGCAGAACACCAGTGCATTTGGTTTATCCTCACTGACATTTGGAAGGACAGGAAGTATGATTTGAAAAATAAGATTATGGAGCACAATTCTGCAGTAGTGGAACTTCTACAGCAAATTCCATGGCTAAGGAAAACCAGGGCCCCTGGTTAGGGATCTGTCAGCAAAAGTTCAGTACAACTCAAATGATAAATTTGAACTTTGAAGGGCACAGAACAAAGTTTTTCATTCTATTGAACTGTGATGCATTTAGTAATATGAAATTAAAAGAGGCCTTATTTCTCTTATCCCCACCTTCCTAAGGAAGACTAAACTGTTCCCTAAGGAATGTGCAGATTTGTGCTAATTAATAATAAGCAGCATAAGTAGCTATTCTCTACTCTTATAAGTTTTGGTTGATGGAAATTGCACTGTACTCAGTGGCACCTATTTAAGCTAATGATGAACACTTTAAAAAAATATCATTTTAAATGGAAATTGCCAGGAACTTTAGTTTATGTTTCTCTGTGCTTTCCCATCCACCTGCCTAAAATACTGGTGAGCAATCAAGCTGTTTGACAACCTGTGGCATTTCTTGGTGATATTCAAAGCCAATTTTTCCTTTTCATTTACCCTCAAAAATATCACTTAGCACCTTTAACCATAGGGTTTCAGGAAGAAAAAGGATGGCGGAGGGAAAGGTCATGAAAAATCCTAAAAGAGAATTCTAAAAGAGAAACTAAAGGTGTTTTTTTAAGATCTTTTATTGCATAAAACATTAAAGCAATATAATAATTACTCAGACATCCATCCTTGCTTTCTATATATGATGGAGGAAGCTGTTATCTTTACAATTCTTTACCTCAATTTTTATAGGTATCTAGTTTTGGCTACTAGCTAGAAAGGCAAGCTGGTATATTAGGTTCTAATCCAGGGACCAATTAAATCAATTGAAAGGACTCTAAGGGGTGCCTATACATGTGCTCTGATGCATTCTAATTAGAGTGCATTGGAGCAGACTCAATTACTCTGTCAGCTGATTAATTAATTGAGCATGCAGGAACATTCTAATTAGAATGCTTCAGTGTGCCAGTTTCACATGTATTCAGTATCCTACTTTTCAAAATGGTGGTGGAGGCACTTTAACTAAAACTCATCAAACAAGCTTTAGTTAAAGTGCCCCTGCTGCCATTTTGAAATGTGGGATGCTGTCTCTAATTAAAACGCTTCCCCCACCATTTTGGAATATATGTATAGACACCCTAGTGACTTCACTTGGCTTTGCATCAGAGTCTTAGTAAAGGGCCAACTAAAACTGTACAGAAATAGCCTTATTTTTTCAACTGTGTTGGCTGTCAAGTACCCTACATTTCAGTGGATTCCATAAACTAAAATATGGTAGTTCATTCTTTAACAATACCATATATGATACGATCATGGTGTTTCTAGCATTCACAAGGACAGTAGCTTCTGTGCATGCAGTCAGTACTACTGCAAATCTTCCTGTCTTTTCAATATACCAAGTTAGCAAGCTGCATTTTATAGCTCTAATGCCTCAGCATTACTTCAGTATATTGTGAGACAGAGCCTTAAGATATGTGCATCAGTTTTTAAAAATCTGTTTGCTCTCCACAAGCCATTTAGATGAAAGGAATCCTTTCTGCTCAGCTCCCTATCCCCATCTCCCACCTTCCTATTCCTTTTGTTACAGATCAGGAATGGGGGCTGAGTTGTAAATTTTGTATTTGGAGCAGACTTTCCCTAGAATTCATTCTGCAGTGCTCAAGGCTGAGAGTTTCATATTAGACTCATGTCTTCTGAGAATGCCCTACTAAACTCCTGCTGCCTACCCCTCCAAGTATAGTACATGTCTTCAGAGTGTCAAGACTAAATCACTATTTCTAGCAAAAACTAATGGATCTCTGGAAAAAAAACAGTCAAGTGGAAAGCAAGATACAGTGGGCATTTGAGATTTAGTCTCCAGCTACCTACATTTGCAGTCCTTCTGGTTTTTGGCAAGTTCAAAGCCAGGCCTACATTCACAGGCAACCCCACCTTTGGGCGTCTCCCGGCAGATATGTGCACACCCGTGATCTTTGTTCATACAGTTCATACCCTCTGTAAGAAAGAGAAAGAGAGAGAGAGAGAAAAAAGTACTGAAATAAGATCCCATTGCAAATTAACTCTATTTAATTACACAAATCCAATTTTTATTGTCAATGTAATTCTTATCTTGCATCTGGACAGTGTCCTGTTAGGCTGCAGAATGCTGTAGAAATGGAGGAGTACAGTCACCAGAGAAGTACCATAAACCCTGAAATATATAGCCAATGAGTTCTATTATGCAGGTACAACATATTAATGTGGCTATTTCTCTGACTATATAATTTAAAGTTTTTAGACTGTATAATCAGGTGAAGAAAGTATATAACAATAAAAATTGTATCAGAAAGTTTAGATCCTAGAAATTATAGGTTTGTGACCAGGTGTGTTTTCATTATTTAAAAGCATGTAATGCATATCCAACCAATTAATCATGCTCATCCCTTCCAAGCTCATAATGTTAAAGGATGTCTTTCCAAGTCCAAACAAAAGGATTAGAGTTTTGCAATGACAAAGATGCTGCACATTTATGTCAGAGACTGAAATCTTTGGGCCAGATTCACTAGGCATCTAAGTGGATTTAAGCAGCTAAGTGCAAATATATTTCACCCTGTTCAAGTAATGCATTTATTTTTTAATATACTACCTGCTGACTTTGAAATGGAGTCACAAAAAATCAGCTAGGGGGATGAGGACCTGACCACATTTTGCATGAACTGGTTTTCATGGACTTGATCAGGGTGAAACAGAATCGCACTTAGACCTCTATCTAAGTCCACTTATATGTCTGATAGGTGGAGCTGAATCTGACCTTTTTGTGTTTATACTTATATGAATGTACACGCTGTCAAGGGATAGATCTAGGCAGCTGAGAATTTGCCTAGCATGGGGAAGATATACTAGTATAGCTCAACTGGGTTGGAGTTAGGGTGCGAGGGAATCAGGCTAATGTGGTGATATAGGACCATTGAGCGGCATGATGTGAACCAACAAGTGAGAACACAGGAAGGTAATCTGACCCATGGATGTTATCTGAACTGAAAAACAGAACCCCCAGGGCTATTTTTATAAAAAAAAAAAAAATTAACATCTAAAACACTGTTTTGGGATGTCTTTTAATGTGCCTGATATTTTACTAGGCAGATAAGGTTCTTTGGATGAATCCGATACCTTTTATTAGACCAACTTAAATAGTTGGAAAAAAATTTTCTTAGTAAGCTTTTGGGTTTAAAAACCCTTTGTCAGGCTGAGGAAACCTCTGCAGTTGGTACATGCTCTTCTATGTCTTTAGACCAATATGGCTACAACCTACACCCCTGATATTTTACTATACACAAATGGATATATTTATTAGGGCTGTGTGAAGCTTCAGGTGGTGGTTCAATTTGGAGGAGATTCGGCCTGATTCGGTGGCTGAATCTCCAAATCCGAATCGAATCATGGGACCAATTAAAAGGTCCAAATAGATTCAAAGCTCTCTGAATCTTTGGGAAAGATTCAGAGAGCTTTGATGATTCGGAAAGTCCCCAGTGGCTGCAGCAGGGAGCTGCAGCCAGACTCG